TGGGTTCAGAAGATCCAGAGGCTCTTAGTGCCCTGTGGATACTTGAATATGTATGGAGGCCGAGTCCAGCTGGATGGAGCCCAGGGGAGAGGCCTCCCTGCCCACCCAGAAGCCAGATCCAATGGCTGTAAGTCTGCCGCTCTCCCAGAGGGCTCTCTCTTCCTTCATATTAAAAAAACAAATCAAAGCAAGAGAAACTGAGGCCCATGTTCTGCAGGAAGTCCAAAGCCCTCTCCAACATCTCAGAGGACTGTTTTCCCCTAGGAAAGGAATAGTAGGATGGCTCTCATTTCTCCATAGTCAGTTCTGCTGTGGCCCCTCCACCCTCGCTGGCACCCTCTGGCCTCTCACTCCTGCAACCTCATTCTGAGCTTGACACCACTGTCTTCTATCATTCCTCCATCACTCGCCCAAGGGATTATGTGGGGCAGAGGGATTGCAGCACAGAACAGGAGACAACTCCACATTCAAGGTTCAGCCTCCCCATTCTTTGAAAAGTATTGGCTGGGCCGCATCTCCAAGGACGTCCTGTGTACTACTGTGTTCATGAAGCTCCTCTCTGTACATGCGATTGTCACAGCCTTCCTTTTTCTTCATTTGTCATCTCTCACCTCCTCTCAAGAGCGGAGAGCCTCAACAGGTTCGAGAGTCCTCCTATTGCCATGCAGAGCAGCTCAGCTCCCTCTTGGTCTCAACCTCCCAGGCAGACTAAGCCTAGGGTGCCTCCATTCTTATCCAACAAGCTGACCCAGGCATTGTCCTGGAGAAGTCCCCTATTCAAGAGGGGAGTTTTTTTTAGTTTTTTGAGACAGAGTCTTTGTCACTCAGGCTGAAGTGCAGTGGCGCAATCTCGGCTCACTGCAGTCTTGACCTATTGGGTTCAAGCCATCCTCCTCCCACCTCGGCCTCCCAAGTAGCTGGGATTACCAGCATGTGCCACCATGCCCAGCTAATTTTTTATATTTTTAATAGAGATGGGGTTTCACCATGTTGGCCAGGCTGGTCTCGAGCTCCTGACCTCAAGTGATCCACCCACCTTGGCCTCCCAAAATGCTGGGATTACAGGTGTGAGCCACCGCGCCAGGCCAAGAGGGGAATTTTTTTAACTCTTCTAAACAGTACCATCATTAGACCCTAGAAATAAGAACCCCTGTCCTTGTGTTTTTTTAGACAACCCACAGGTTACAAACACAAACACACTGAGATACTGCTACACACCTATTAGAGTGGCTAAAAACAAACAAACAAACAAACAGGAAACTGGCAATACCCAGTGCTGGTAATAATTTCAGGGCAGGGCATGGTGGCTCACACCTGTAATCCCAAGGTCTTTGGGAGGTTGAAGTGGGAGGATCACTTAAGGCCAGGAGTTTGAGACCAGCCTGGGCAATATAGCAAACCCTGTCCCTACCAAAACAAAACAAAACAAACAAACAAACAAAAATTCTGGATGTGCTGGAACTGTTCTGTAATCTTGCTCATGAAGGTATATACAGAACTATATGCATTTGTCAATAAACCTGCTTACCAAGAAGAGTAGATTTTGTTGTATACACATTTAAAATAAGAATATGTGGCTGAGCGTGGTGGCTTATGCCTGTAATCACAGCACTTTGAGAGGCTGAGGCAGGTGGGTCACCTGAGGTCAGGAGTTCGAGACCAGCTTGGCCAACATGGTGAAACCTCATCTCTACTAAAAAATACAAAAATTATCTGGGCATGGTTGCACGTGCCTATAATTCCAGCTATTTGAGAGGCTGAGGCAAGATAATTGCTTGAACCCGGGAGGCAGAGGTTGCAGTGAGCCAAGATTGCGCCATTGCACTCCAGCCTGGGAGACAGAGAGAGACTCCGTCTCAAAAAAAAAAAAAAAAAAAAGAAGAAGAAGAATATGTAGGTGCTTTGTTCTCTTGGGATCTGGCTTTCAGCACTGGCAAAGCGTGACTGTAACTCTACCCACTTTTGTAACTAAAACCATCCACAGGCCACAGAGAATGCTTTTCCCTTTGTCTTGCTCTGTGTCCTCAAAACCAAAGGTAACTAAACCTGAATTGCATGAAGGTTGCTGGGCCGTGCTGCCACTGACCTTGGAGGTGGACACTGCTTTGGAGTACTAGGAGGATTTGAGCTGTGGAACGGCTTCCCGGTGAAGAAAGGGAGCTTATTCTACTTGTCAAGTACATCTACTCAGATAGTATAAAGGACCTGGTAGCGCTAAGCGTCATAATGTCTGTTTCTGGGGGCCTCCAGAAACATAATGTCATAATGTCACAGTTCTGGGGGCCTCCAGAATTAGCATGGTATTCTGACAGTTGCAATAGCTGAGAAATATTTTGGTATATTACACAGTTCATAGTGTTTTTGTTGTTGTTGTTCGTTTGTTGTTGTTGTTGTTGTTGTTGTTGTTGTTGTTTTGGTGAGACAGAGTTTGGCTCCTGTCACCCAGGCTGGAGTGCAATGGTGGCACAATCTTGGCTCACTGCAACCTCCGCCTCCTGGG